CAATATAGGTCCGCATTTGAAAACCTATACTATGACTTAATGTCAGAAGTCGACGATAGATTATCGAAAAGCAACGCGCTTGCGCAAAATCGACAACAAATACAGGGTGATCAAAGTGAAGTCACAAATAGTCATAATTCTCCATTAATAAAACTTAAACCGTTAGAAATTCCTACATTTACGGGAAAATTCGACGATTGGGTTACGTTTCAAGACATATTCTGCGCATTGGTACATACAAATAAATCAATAACAGATATTCAGAAATTTTGTTATTTAAGAAATGCACTAGAAGGCGAAGCTAGTTCATTAATTAAAAATTTAGAAACGTCGTCATCGAATTATGAAATTGCATGGAAAATAGTCACAACGAGATACAATAATACTCGTATGTTGATTCAAACACACACGAAGCGCATTTTCGACCTAGAGCCTATTAATAAAGAATCGGGCATTAAGTTAAAACAATTAACTGATTCGCTAAATGCACATATACAAGCATTAAAAGCTTTAAAGCATGACCCACACAACTGGGGTGCATTACTGCTACACGTTATATACACGAAACTTGACACAAATTCAATACGTCAATGGGAAGCCGAAGTGTCAAAAGATGAGTTACCGAGTGTACAATTAATGATGGGATTCCTGGGTAAAAGGAGTCAAATGTTAGAGTCTGTAGAAAATGCAAAATTATTAACATTTAAGCAAAATGAACCAAATTGGTCGTCAAATAAAATCGCAAAATTTGGAGCTTCGAGAAAAGGTGCATCGTCATTTTTGTCAACGTATAAAATGAAATGTTATATGTGTCAGCAACCGCACCCAATATATAAATGTACTGCATTTCTGGCACTTGATATAGCGTCTAGAGTAAGCAAAGTCAATGAATTGAAAATGTGCAGTAATTGCTTAAAGAAAACTGACCATCAAGTAAAACAATGTCCCGCGAGAAAATGTGTAAAATGTCRAAAACCACATAATTTACTATTACACCATGATAAAGAACCAAGTTCCGACGAAGGAAGTGCACAAGGTAACGTGTCAAACGATGGGCTAGTAGTTGCGCATACCGCGGATGCCGGCGAAATTGACAATCAAGTGCTGTTGGCGACGGCAATAATAAAGGTATCAAGTCCCGCYGGTAATCATATACACGGCCGGGCATTACTTGATAATGGGTCTCAAAGTAATTTTATTACGAATAATTTGGTACWTAAACTCGGTCTRAAGCGTCATAAAGTAAATATACCGATATGCGGAATAAGTGAGTCAAAAAATAATATAAGGTATAAGGTAACAGCTGTCGTGCAATCATTAAATAGTTCGTATGTAACGACAATCGAGTTTTTAGTGTTATCAAAAATAACAGGTTCCTTACCACACACACCAACACGTACCGTGAGCATTCCCGATAACGTTAATATTGCAGATCCGTTATTCAATTGTCCGGGCAACATCGACGTTCTTATCGGAGGTGATACCTATTGGGATATAATGTGCGATGAGAAATTAAAAACCAAAGACGGTCCGTATTTGCAAAAAACGTTATTAGGATGGGTAGTCGTAGGTAAGACATCAACAAAACTAAGTACAAACAAATTAAGTTCGTGTTTATTAACCACTCAAAATGAATACCAAGCATTGGATAACAAAATAGAGTTATTTTGGAAAATGGAGGAAATATCGTCGAAGGATAATTTTACGGACGAAGAAAAGCTGTGTATAACACATTTTAACAAGAAYCTCGCTCAAAATGAGGACGGCAGATTTGTAGTCAAACTACCGTTCAAAGAAGATTGTCATCAGCTGGGTAACTCATACACCTCAGCTCGACAAAGATTTCTGTCATTAGAAAAACGGTTAATAAAGAATCCCGAACTATACATGAAATATAAAATGYTTATGAGTGAGTATGAAAACCTTAATCACATGGAACGCATTTATGATACGAGCGGCGATAAGCAGGTAATCGATTCCGCGAAATGTTTCTATCTACCACACTCATATGTAATTAACAATCGGAGTAGAACGACAGAGTTACGCGTTGTGTTTGACGGGTCGGCAAAGACCAGTAGCGGTGTGTCATTAAATGACACACTAATGAGCGGACCAAAAATACAACCCGACTTATTAGATATCGTGGTACGGTTCAGAACACATAAGTATGCATTTTCAGCGGACATCACGAAAATGTATCGTCAGGTGTTAGTTCACGAAGACCATCGCGACTATCAGCGTGTGTTATGGAGATCAGATCCAAACGATGAATTAAAAATATATAGATTATGTACTGTTACCTACGGGTTAGCGCCAGCAGGCTTTTTAGCAATAAGTTGCGTAAATCGTATCGGCGATAAGACCACTAACACGAAGATAAAAGAAATAATTAAAAATGATTTTTGCGTTGACGATTGCCTTACAGGGGCAGATTCGTTGATGGAAGCAATTGAATTGCGCGACGAATTAATTTCAATTATGCGAGGTGGGGGATTTGAACTATCCAAATGGACAACGAATCATACAGATTTGTTCCCGAATCGTAATAAAGATGAAATGACGACCATACCAATGGATAGAGAAAGCGTAAAAACTTTAGGTTTATATTGGGAGCCGAAAAGTGATTATTTTACGTATGTCGTGCAAGTACCGAAAGTAAACAATGAAGTAACGAAAAGACATATTCTTGCCGGCCTAGCAACGTTATTTGACCCATTAGGCTTAGTAGGCCCGATAATATTGATGGGAAAATTATTATTACAGAATGTATGGCGCGAAAAAATCGGTTGGGATAGCCCAGTTYCGCCTTACATACAATTGGAGTGGGAAACATACAATAATTGTCTAAATGAGCTCAATTCGTTTAGYAYACCCSGCTGGCTTGGATCCGATAATGGTAAACACATCGAAATACACGGATTCGCAGACGCATCCATGAAGGCGTACGGCGCCTKTGTATATATGCGTACGTCAGATAAGGACGGTAATATCGCATGTCAGTTAGTGTGTGCGAAGTCTCGTATTGCACCAGTGAAGGTTATTTCGATTCCCAGATTAGAATTATGTGCAGCACTGCTCTTATCGCGCCTAATAGACGTAATTATACCCGCACTTCGATTGAATATAATAACCTTAAAATTGGTGATGAGGGGTACCCAACGTACAAAACAATTGTTTTAATTTTTTTAAATGTCGGTATAATATCTATGGTTCTTAATGTTTTATACAATTGACTTATATCCTGCATCTGCTGAACTATACGAAAAATGTCTGTATAACGTATACGTATTTTCATGGTGATCAAGATGTCGTAATKAAAACTGGAATTAATATAAATTTAATAATATTTTACTCTTAAGAAAATATGTCATCCAATTCTTCAACAATAATAAAAAAGCATGAAAGAAATACCAAAATATGAAAAATATATTTAAATTACTATTCTATTTATTTATGTGTTAAAATATTACATTTGACAACTTACATGCGATTATGTTAGTATAGTTACGAAACAATTAACTGCCAGTGGAATGTAGGAAATAAAAGCCAATTTAATTATTTATAAAAATGTATTATATTTAAGTATGCCCAATTATATTATTATTATATTATAAATTATTAAATCTGTAATTATATCAATAGTATTCTATAGTAATGAATTAATTGATTGTACAATGTATATAAATATATATATATATATATATATTTTTTTTTATTATTAAACATTTTTAATAAAAAGTGAATTGTTTATTTATTTTCAACATCAGTTATTTTTCTGGTAGGAAAATAAATGATTGGTCAGTGATTATCAAAAGCGTTAAGGACAGAAAAAAAATTAAAACAAGGTTTATAGTATAAGACATAAGTGTAATCACTTAATACTCTTAGTTCATACAACAACATGTACCTTTAAAAAAGAATCACACTGTACAGTGTACAAGTATAATATTATACATTATAATTATTTAGGTGTAAGAAGTGAATAGATTGATTTCAAGATAATATGTACCTAATAGATACTGCAAAATGTACTGTTAAAAAAGTACCCTATTAATCCAACAGTGTTAAAAATAAATAATCAKTTTTTATTTAATTTTTTTTTAAAATCTATTAATTCATTTAATTTGTATTTTTTCCGCGGATTTTTCTAACTACCACCAATTGTACTTATTTATTAAGCAATTATTGCAAATAGAAATTTGACAAATTGAGACACACCATAACTTAAAAATAATTTTATCGGAAGGAGCTTGTAAATTTAATCAAAATATTATGAACTAATTTTGAATGATATTATATAAGATTTAAAAACAATAAGTAATTATGTACTAAGCCAAATAACAATTTGGACGAGTGAACTAGTTATTTAAGCACCAAAAATGGCATGACAACAACTATAAATAATATTGTTATAATATTATGAGAAAAATAAATATCTTTGAACCATCGGCTATTTACCATCATTTACTTAATTTAAACGATTGATTTTCTATTATACTTTTGAGAAATCTCGATATTTTAATATCATGCGTCCAAACATTGTAGTTCAAAAATTAAAAAAACTTTAAAATGTAATAAAAAGTTCTCTTTAATAATTGATCTTATCGATGTTAAAATGTATAAGAAATAAACGTGTACTGTTTTCTTTGATTATAACTTTAAAATTAATAATGTTCGTTAATACACATCGTACTCTTTTATAAATATTTTTTTGTACCAAATCTAATATATGAAAAGCTTAAACTCAAGACATCATTTTTCTTAGAAACCACCTTGTTTTAAAAAWTTTTATTGTAAAATATAAAGTATATAAATGAACAAATTAATTTATAATAATTATCACAAATAGTCTTAACTCTTAATAATAAATAAAAAATTATATTGAATATTATATCAAACATTTTTCACTACCTGAAAGTGATTAGTGTTTAAATGTTCAATATAAATACATTGCTCAATTTTCTTAGTACCATTTTTGTAGCTTCCCGATTTTCCAAAAAAATGCCAATCATACATATTGTTTGTTTTTGTGTAAACATAAATATGTGTATTTAAATATATTGCTGTTGCCATCATTTCAATATCTGTTGCCCAAGTACCATTTTCCTCCATTCCAGTTAAAGATATGTATGTTTCTACGTCACCAATGATTTTTTT